GTTTAGCTCACAAAGAGGCAGAATGCAACATATATCTGCCACTCACAGCAAACCCACACTGATTGGGACACAACATCCGTGCAGAAAGACAGCCATACTCGTGACAAGTAGACTTTCAAATGCAGGAACTGAGCTCACATCATCAGCTTATGAGACCAACGGTTGACGATCTGACAAAATTTACTTCAGCCTACTTGGGTCTGCGAGACTAGAGGTAGAGCCGTAATGTTAGTACAGACAAAAATTTTGGCAGATAAGTCAATACCTTCAGGAAAACAATTGATAACCAAGTGTATAATTCCATTTAAAATCACAGAGTCATGTCTTAGTTTTACTAAGTGTTTTACGGCACTTGCAACACAATAAGGTCATATAAGTGCCGAAGATTAGAGGTGTTACAAGAGAGTAACAAACACAAAAAAGAAGGAGGAGAGATTAGGACGATAGATGTCTGATAGGAAAGAAGGAGCAAACCACAGGAGTCATGTCTATATTTTTCATGGAAGCATGACTTTATGCAAAACTTTGACAGTTATATCTAGTACGTTATAACAATCCAAGACAGCTGGTTCTACAAATTTATGAGTGCCAAAAATCCCCTACAATGTTATCAGTTTCCATAGAGAAGTCTATAATTCCAAGAAAAAGGAATGTGTCCATAATTTTTTGAAAGTCTTTAGTCTAATTTAATAAAAACTATTGACAATTTTTTAAAAACCTCTTAGATAGTGATTTCTATAATTCCACAAGGGGTAGTGTGCAGGCAGAGGTAAGAATTTGACCACAATGTACCCCCTAGATAAAAACAAGGAATATCAAAAACAAAATAGATCAAGTTAAAAGACTAAAAATACCCATGCACAAGGAGGCATATGTATGTATGTACGTCCAAGGGAACGAAAATCAACAGAAACAAGAAATGGGTCTTTTCTCTACCAATGAACAGGAAGAACAGAAAAGCAAATTCATTCTGCTGTTCTTTTCACATGAAAAAAAATGACTAATAACTTGTAATAGTTACAGTTGTTTCTGCCCCGCACGACACAATTGTTTTCTGCCCCACTCCACACAATTACTATCATTTAATAGACGGAACATGCAGAAGTGTGTTAACAAACTCCAGCAAGGACCCAGAAGCCCATGTGTCCACAGCAAACACAGACGCCTGCCACAACACTGGGAATGTCAACAGATTTTAAACAGAGTAAAATACCCTGCAAAAAAATAACCTTGGAGGTCTTAAAGAAACCAAGCTGCAGTGTTTGCAAAAGGAAAGGTTGACAACAGCACAAACAAGAGCCACAGGGCTTTTGCCTCTTTCAAAAATTTTAATGGCCCAATGAACAAAACAAAAAGGATTGATTTTCAAAACCCTTAGGGTAATAATAATAATAATCATAATAACATTATTGGCAAGCCCAGAGAGCAGATTTTTTTTTAAAGGGAGAAAGAAACAATAGCTGTCTCAGGTTTTTAAAAACCCAATAGTACCTAGGCCCACTTTATGTATCTTTATTGAGTTTTTTTCTACTTTTAGAATTTAGGTTTCAAGAAATTATTTCTTCAGCACATGCGACCAATACCACAGATTAAATAAATGATGGGCTCAGAACATTTGATTAGCTGGCCAACAATCCAATAATATGACAATAAGAAAAGGTACAACAAAAGGTACTTTTCCAAACTTGTGCCTGAGCACACTTGTTCTTAAAGTTGCCAAAACAGAACAGACAAAACTAGTCCAAGTAACTCTTTAACCATTCATTATTCCACCTGTGACACATTTAGACGCTAAAAAAATGGGAAAGAACTAAAAACACAAAGCATACCCCCAACTCATTGGTGAATGATACATATATAAATGTAAGCAAAAGTAAAAACACGTTCAAGCTAACATTCACTTCGACAAACAAGTAACAATTAAAAACCAATTATAACATAATGACTGAATCAGGTTTACAATAACAAAAAAGCTGGCAGTTTGGTCCAAATACAATGTAAAAATGCAAAGTTTGCATCAGACAATGAGATCAAAACATGTTTCGTTTGAGTTTCAGGTACAGTGCTGAACTGCAAATGAGTAAACTTATTTTTTAGGTTAAAATATAACCAACAACATAAAGAGTCAGTGTCAAGGACGCATATCTGATGACACATCTGAGCCAAAGACACACATAACAATTTAAGTGCGAGGAACATATGCCTAGGGACAGGCAGAGCAAATGTTCTTTATTCTTTGTAATTGTAGGAGTTTTACATCCCAATTGATACAATTTAGATCATTTTGGAAGTGGGCTTCTATGACTTTGTCTGTCAAGGCCAACCTGCTGGTCCAGCATCAACAATCGATGTTTCTGTTCAGTGACCTATTTCTAGTGCACAGTAAAGCACACACTACGATGGACTGTCTGTAAGGCCCAGCACGTTCATGCACATGTATTTTATGTTATGGTGAAGGTATTTGTAAATCGCCTAGAGCTGTATTGTACAGAATTGGGCGCTACAGAAATGGTCTGAATTATTATTATTTTGGATAAAAAGAACATGTTTATACAGAACCAACCAATCTGTTGTTTGTATATGTTTTTACAGAACATCAGAGCCCCATTGCATACCAACTATGACCACTGAGTTAAGATTTTCTTGGGGTTTTTAATAAGATCATCTGGTCAGAGCCAACACTTGAGCCAGTAGTCAGAGTCTGAGCACTACCTTTACCGACACAACTGAAGCACTAATCAAATGTTTTTCTCCAATCTCCTTGAATACAACCAAACATGTTTTGGAATATGAAGAAAATTGTTATGTACATAACTTTTGAGTGTGCCTCATCTCCTCTCCCCCCCCCCCAAAAAAAAAAAAAAAAGAAAGAAAAAAACAAACTAGGGGAAAAGAACACCAAAGCAAGCACATTCTGGGAGTGAAAAAAAAATCAAGACATAAAAAATCAAAATAAATTACCTCGACAAAAAATACTAATAACAAAGTCAAGCTACAAAAAAATATACTCTGCATTTCGCAAAAGAAAAAAGTGGCTGGGTTGAGTATACAAAGGTACAGAAATTTGAAGTCCAAAATCAGAGTATGTGGGTAGTTCTTTACTTCACTAATACACAACCAAATAATCAGACAAATGTTTCTTTTTTAAAATAGTATTTTTAGTAACAGTTTTACAAATAAGTCATATAAGTGCATCGGTGGTCGGTGGGTGCTTTGGTGTGGTTTGCATCTTCTTTACTATCAAATATCTATTGTCATTATCTCTCCTTTTTTATGTATGTTACTCTTTAGTAGCACCTCTTATCTTCAGCACTAACAAACCTAATTGTGTTGCAAGTGCTATAATACTCTTACTAAAAGTAAAACAGACGATTAGGAGGTAGAGACTAAAGAAAAAAAATACAAAGACAAGAGAAACATCCAATGAAAGGTAGGAGGAGAGATAAGAATGATAGATGTTTGACATGAAAGAAGAGGCAAACCACACCAGAGCACCTGCCAACCACCCACAGCCCAACAGATGCCCTAGTGCCACCAACCCACTCCATGCTACAGGAAACTCATCAGAGGTGTCCACTGGCTATGCAGAAAGTCCTGAACATTTCCAACCCCATGGAAATTGTTATGTGGGCAGGGACTCAAAATTTAGAGTAAAATCAATACATCTTTTCTCAAGACAATTTTTATGTAAAGCGATACGACATGCAAAAAGAGATCAATGTATAAATTAATGTATGTTCAAGCATATATTACAAATTCGAGACAATTTCAGAAATCTGGATTTTTATGGGAAATTGGCACCTCAGACTCATGTTTTGGGGGGTTTTTTGAAGTAAAAAATCATCCACATAACAACCATCACGCAGGGCTGGAAAAGGCAAAATACAGACAGACAGAAACAAAAGAGAGATAGTTAAGAAGTTTGAACTAACAGCAGCACCCTCTAACCACTCATGAGGAGAATTAAGTTTAGTTTTAGTAAGAATTTTACTGCACTTGCACCACCAATAGGTCATATACGTGGCAGAGAATAAAGGTGTTACTGGAAATAACATACAGACAGAGTTAAGGTGGAGGAGAGATAAGGACGATAGATGGGAAAGGAGCAAACCACACTAGAGCACCTGCCACTTACCCGCAAAGAGACTCAGTAGGCTGAGTACAGTTACTCATGAACCCAACATAATGTCAAGCAACACCTGAGCTGTGTGTGTACATGGCAGACCCACTGACAAAGTTACAGAGAACAACCAAGGAGGCCACAAGGATTTGTGAAAATTGGGTGAAAATTACAAAAACACTACTACAATGGGGTTCAATAGAAAACAAATGCCAGGTATAATGACCGTTATCACAGATCTGAAAATGTATTTCATTGAAAATAAAGGAAATAACAGCATCCCTGACACATAGAGTCACAGCAACATTAGACTGTGCAGAGACAACTACACTATGGAGAAAAGATCTGACAGACTCAGACAGACAGCTACGTTTGCCCCCTGGCATTGGAACCATATGCATGGCAGCTAACTTAGACAGAGGGACACAGAATGAATGTGTCTCCGTCACTGTGCTCACTTTGGTCTAGTCGGGGGCAAAAAGCTGCACATCGACACGAAAACAACAATTTGGTGCTTGTGAAAACGCAAGAAAGACAGACAGAAACATTTTAGAAAAAGAAAAGAATTTGGATGTGCTCGTAGCAGCCCCAACACTGTGCAATGTATCTCTTACACTCAACACTGTGCCTGTCACTGTGCAATGTATCTCTTACACTCAACACTGTGCCTGTCACTGTGCAATGTATCTGCTCGGTACATTCGACTAACACAAAGAAACAAAACATTTTAATGTTCTCAGTGGGTACTTAATGTGCTTGATGTGTATCAAATGTTCTTGGAGTATATTTATTGTTTGCAGTGCATATTTAATGTTCTCACTGTGTTTTTTAATGCTGCTGATATGCACAAAAGTAAACATTGAGTCTTAAAAGTACATACTTGATCCACACCAATTTTGCGACAGGCTTCCAGGAAGTACTCCACATTCCTCCGACACTTTGCCAGCGTCAGTTTGGGCTGAAAAAAGAGAATCACCACAAAATGTAACAATGTAATAATTTGGGGGAAAAAAATGTGGCTTTATTTTGTTTTGGTTTAGTAGTACGTACTACGTTTGAAGCAACACAGAGAAAGAGAAGAAGTAGGACAAACCAGTGGTGTTCCCCAACCTCCTGCATTGCTATCTGACATAAAAAGGTTTTGGTATGAGTATGAGAGAAGCAAGTAAACAAAACAACAATCGAGTAACGTTGTTTAAAAGCCAGATAAACAGGTAAAAACTGGTACAGGTACAGAAAGTGGCAGCCCCTAACCACCCACAGAAGAAGAAGGGGAACAATTTGCAGGGATAAAAATGGCTGCTGACTAAAAAACCCAGAGAGAGAGAGAGAGAGAGAGAGAGAGAGAGAGAGAGAGAGAGAGAGAGACTCTGGCTTTATATTCAAGGACACGCAAATTACTAACAGAAAGACATCTTTCCAACACAGGTCGTACTGCAGGATATTTCCAGCTGACGTTGGACAGTCAAGTCTATTTAATAGAGGAACCTCATTAAACCACCAGGCCTGTTATTCCACAAACTTTATGCAGGTCCCAAGAGTGGCGGTATAACAAGGTTTGCCAGTATTTCAATTGTGGTCCTCAAACATTTCACCAGATGGACTCTTTTCCTACCAGGTCAAAATCCACCACTGGTCCAGGGCTTTTTCTTGACCTATTTTTAAGCCCCTACCTCACCGAAGGAAAATGTCAAACATCCAACTAAACACACACAAACCATATCATATGGCCAATCAAACTGAAGGTTAAAAAATAATCTATCAGACGGTGATAAAATATTGAAGGTTTATTCCAATTATATTAGTTTGGGGTTTCTAAAAGTGATCACGCAATATCACGGGTGTCATATGAAATCAACAATGTTCCAGCTTTGAGAGGTTATATCTAACAAAGTAAAACAACAGCATCATTCAAACTTCCCAGGTAGGTTTGCCGAAAGTAATGCAAAGAAATACTGAAAGCGATGTATGTTCTAATATAGAAGTGAAAATATGAGACATATACTGAAGTCAGGGGAGCGCTTTTTTTCTCTTTTCTAAGTTTCGAAGGGGACAAAAAAAAAAAGAAGCCCTGAAATAAACTAAAAATCATCTCTCAGTGCTATATTTTCTTTCGTATCTGCTAACAGGAAGTCTATTTTATTATTTTGAAAACGTGGATCGGCCGAGAATTTCCTGTCTTTTCATTACTGGATTGGAATAGATACACTCGAGCCGTATTTTGCGGCTCTCGGTCTAGTGAGGCCATGTCCGCGAGCTATGCGGCTCGCGGAAGGGAAAGTGTTAACTTACCACAGCGGGTGACGGGACGTGGATGGTTCCCACAGAACGTGGGCGGATTTGATTGGCCAGATGACAAAGAACAACACCGTCTCGTAGAGCTTCGGGCAAGTTGTCCGGCAATGTCACCTTTAACCTAGACTCAACAGTCTGTGGCCGGAATAAAACAACAGATACATGTAATTTCCATAACAAGAGAGCAATATTTTTTCTGATGTTTCTTAACACTACAAACACAACTCAGCTTTAGCAAATGTGTGGGGTAGGGGGGTGTTCACATTATGCAGTTCTGGTAATAACTAACACAATTACACTTTTAAGGTACACCACAGGGAATATTCAGGGGAAAAAATACCATGTTTGGCAAAAATGACTGATTTAAGGCTTTATATCGGATTGGCTGCTTCAACGTATTGGGAATAGATCTGACCTGTTACTTTTACCAAGAACACATTTTTGAAACACGCTGTCAATCATTTTAGCAGGTACCCCCTCTTTCAAATTACATGCACATTTCAGAAGTAATGAAAATTTTTGCTTAGTTGATCCGTTGATTTTCTAATCTGACTGCCAAAACAATCAGTAGATCTTCTGCTAACCAGTTCATCACGGAGGTCAAACTGAACTTTTGTCGAGTCAGGGACACACGCTTAGGTTTATTTATAGCTCCAAAGTTTTACTCATTCGCACAGAAAGCTTTCAATCCCAGGATGCATCATCTGCGTGTTTTGTCACCTGCGGACAACCCATCTCCGGGTTTTCATAAGCGAATGTGGAAGAATAACTGAAATTCTTCAGCTTTGACAATGTTTCAACTGATATTCTGAGCAGGTAAGAGTATATTTCATTCACTGGTGTTTTGTTTTGAACTTGTATAGCCTAATACGATCGTAAGTCGTAATATCAGCTGCTTGCTGACCTATGTCTAAGTTAGTGCAAGTCTAGTAATGGCCTACTAAAATTAGGATTAGGACACACTAATTGGGCTGGCTTGTTTTACGAACAGCATTGGCAATATTCAGTAGTTCAATTCATGAGCTGAATGTTGGAATTACTTTAGTTCAGGGAGAACTGATGAAGAGTATGAGCAAGTTTTGGAAGGGAGGTGTGTGCCTTTTCGGAACAAGTAGCCTTGTCATGAGTCACGGTGCGAAAGCTGTGAGTTTGTGGACCACTCGCAAAGCCATAATATGAGCTTTGACCTGCTTTGACATTTTATCGATCGACTGACCTAGTAGAACAGACAAAATTTTAACCACATGATGCCAAATTCCCTCACTTTTACAGTCTTCAGTGGTCGTGCATAATTCTCTTTTCTCTATGACTTATTGACGCTTAGTTTGAGGCTAGATCTAGATCTAGTAATTGACTCTGGCCAATTTCTATAGCCAGTGTGAAGTTTCCAGTTTTCCTCCAATTGTTTTCATACCAGTATATTATAGATCTAAGAAATCTAGATCTAGATCTAGAATCTAGTTATCACTGGGGCGGGAAAAAATACATTTAAAAATAAAAGCTGAAAATCTTCAGTTCCGGACTGCAGACACAAAGTAGATAAGATTATGTCTCATTAACTTGTGTGCTGTTTTGAACATTATATCAAATTCCAAGTGTGTTAAACTGCTGCTCATCGCTGGGTTAGGTCATGAATATAGATTCTATAGGCCCTATGATTGCAATTCTTAATTGGCTGTGCTATAATCTTATAGTAGTTCAATGGTAACATTCTGCATTTATTTGTAATGTGGTTTTATATATTGAACTATATTTTGGTTTACTCCCATACACCACAATTCATGGCGATCGCACCCAATTCCTTCTTATTCTTATTCTGTTTTGTGTTTTTTTCGGGGAGTTGGGGGGGCATTCAAATTAATAGCAAAACGATGTTCAAGAAATATGTAGGTATACCGAATTAATATTTTGTAATGAGTGCTCTCAGTTTTCTTGAGGTACTCCAACATAATTGATAACGTAGTAGTGATTTGTTGCCAAATTCTTTTCTCTCCAGCTGTTATTTTTGTTTTGTTTTACCAACAAATTGGTAATTCACTAATCAGCTTGTATATTTTCCCAGCTTTGCTACTGTGAAGGCCCAGCTGACAACTGATAAGTTTGACTCATGACTGTAAATCCACAAGCCTGAATGTCAGATCAACTGCAGTGGCCCGTCTAAAGAGAGCGATGGTGTCCTATGGGGTTGCTCACTCTAGTACAAAATGAGGAACACCTCACTCATTGGTGATGGAGATTCAAAATCATTCCCACTGTATTGGCCCTCAACCCCTATGATTCCATACTCATAAAGGAGGTGGTGTGTGTTAACCATGTGGCATAACAGTAAGTCAAAATTGATTTTGATTCTTACCTGTCATGAGAAATCAGAGTGACTTATTTCAGATACCCGATATCTCTCTCAGAAAAACGCCTCACTTATACTTAGGCTATACTTATAGAGTGATTAGTTCATTGAAAACAATGTCTTATTCAATTTTAGTGAAGAAAAGTAAAAAGTAAACGACGACTGCACTTTTATTGATACTGATCTGATTCAGATTACAGATTAGGCCTAGTATTAGTGTGAGAGATAATTCCCCCTTCCCCTCCATTTAAACCTATTTATGCTCGTCAACCGTGCTTCAATTTTTTTGTCAGCAGTTGACACAGGTAAAAGTACTGTTATTGAAAATGTAACAAATAGTTTGATGATAGAAAATTGCATGTTTAGCTTTGTTTTCATTACTGTTGAACTTTGTAAGTCTGTCACTGGTGATTTTGTTGGCTTGAAAAAAATACTTCCAAAAATGACAGAATGGGTCTGAAACCCAGTTTTGTATATCATAATATAATTTCAGTCTCAGCTCTGTACTTTGCGAAATCTGGGAGCCATCGAGGAAAAGAGAGGTGTAACGCTTGAAGAGAGCCTTTGTTGCACTGACTCAGGTACCGTATTTGAGGAGAAGAAATTTCACTTGACTGTCCCCTAATTTTCAAAGTCCCATCAATCAACAATTATTGTGCTATTCCCCACAAGCAAAACTTAGTCCATTTGTGACCTATATGATGGATGTTGTTCTTTTTTCTTTAAATGGAGAAGGAAGCAAATTCTCCTGAGACCTACGGTGCTTGTCATGCCTCGTGAAGCACAAGGACCCAGAGCTGGTTGTAACGGAGTACAAGTATTCCGGTACTTGTACTTACGTTACAATTTTTGGTATTTTTACTGTACTCCGGTACATTTTGAGAACCAGTACTTTTACTGTACTCCAATACTTTTTGTAAAAGTACTTTTGAGTATTTTTCAAGTACATTTTGAGTACTGTTGAAGCTTAATGAAAGAATAAGTGCCGCATTTCTGATCATAATTTACGGAACAAACACCCGGGCGGGCACAGCCAATCAACCAAGAGTTAAAAGTTGAGATTAAAGAACTGCCCGTCGCGTCAAAGATCAGCCACTCTCGTGAATGTGATCACATGCGTTGTAAAACTCCATGAAACGGTACAATGATCCCGAGACGGGATCACACCGATGTGTGAACTGACCGATGGGCGTTTCTTTTCCCCAAACATCGCACTCGCATCTGAGCTCGCCACCTGAACTTTCATCACTCGTTGGGCGGGTAGGGCCTACAAGTTCGCTCCAGGCAGGATCACATCGAACTGTGAACTCTTCCCTGACCATTGAAGTTGAAGGCAGTTTTTCTCTATTCCCGAATTTGCGAGACAGCCTGAATTTTAATTGGTGTGGTCACAGCGTAATGGTACGTAACGACAAAGGCGGGGGGTGGGGGTGGGGGTGGGGGGACTCAATCAGAGATGGAAGGCTACAATTTTTGGACAGGTAAAGGGGAGGGGCAACTGGATAAACGTAGATAAAGATCTCGAGACGATATGCTAATGAGTGTACGGTATAATATAATGGCATGCCTCATGCCACCATGCTACTGTGATTGGTCATCAAGGTTGACCACTCTTTGCTCGCCATATGTCATAAACCTACCTAGGGGTCACGTCAGTTCATGGGTCACTGTAGATTCTTCCTTGGCTTCGTCGGCTAAGATCCCATATTTCCCTTGCTCCCGAGCACTGGGATCTTAGGTGTAGACTACTGTAGCAGAGAATTTTTGGTTACACTACACTTACTAGACTCTAGGAAATTACGTGTAGGCCTATTTTGGTTTGCCGTGGGTGCCGTGGACTACACATTGTGACCAAACTCTGTCTTACCACTATTATAATCAATTGAAACTGATCAATTGAAACTGAAACTGAGTTCTCAATGTATATCAATCTATCAATTTTTTTGGCTACCTAAATTTCTTTTTTCCTTTTTTTTTGTGGTTTGTGCTTAAGGCTACCTTGATTCCTTGAGGATTTGTTAATGAAGAATTCAATGCACTTATTTTTTGCTGGCCATTTTCATCAATTTTATATTTTCTTAGAGCAACTTTGTCTCTACATTTTCCAATTTGGATACTTTTCCTACTTTCCGACCTCTAGGACTGACTTACATTTGATCATATTGTCTTGCTCAAACAAATTCTATTCATAATATCACTTACTCACTAGTTGCGTCTGTTTGTTTGCTGTTTTTCTTTTTCAATTTCACAGACCACTTCCATCTACGTATATTCAAATGCTTTGTATACTGTTTACATTATTAGTTTTAAATGGCCGAATTTGTCAAATGTACTAGATATGTTATTCAATATGATGTTTTGCATTAGCATTGAAGTGTTTTAGCATATTAGCAGAAAGTACTCATAAGTACTTTTTTTAAAAAGTACATTTTACAGGAAAGTACTTTTACTGTACTTAACTCTTATCCTGCGTCTGTGCCCAGATGCGTATCTTATCAGCAACCGATTACGTCGGACTCGCCGGGCAGGCCGCCGGGGTCACTCAGTGTGTACTGTTGGTGTACAGCGAGCGCGCCGGGAAACGTGTGTTTTCGCCATGAATACCGCGGGAGTGTGTTAACTGATGATGAAAATAACGCTCTATCCTTCATAGTATTCTATTTATAAAGTGTTACAAACACATGAATAACCCCCTCTCACAAGCTGATAAGACATTACGAGTAGTTACGCCCATTTGAATAACCTTTCTGGACACTCTTGTTGTTATGAATGACCTGAGGTTCGAAAAGAGATAATTTAGGTCAAATTCCGAATGTTTTACACTCAAATTGTTATTTGTACCTGCACAAGGGTATTCAAAACTATTAAACAAGCTCATCTTTTATCAGATAGTATCATTTCATACAAAATCAAGCTCATTTGAAATATTTTGTATAGAAAAATGGAAGTCTTGTTTCCTGACTATCCTTTCGAGCTCCTCATGTCTAAGTGGGTCAATTTCTTCTATTATTTCATTGGACGAACATCTAGAGCTATCAACTTGGCATGTTTTGAATGAGACGTATGCCTCGATTACGAACCAACGCAAGTGGTTCTAGAAGAAGGCCACAAACGCACACAAACTCAAGCAGACTGACGCACACACACTTGACCTGCGTGAATGGGGATCCGACTCGGGACCCGAATGACACGTAAGAGGATGCGCGCTGCGCGTGCGCTGAGCCAGGAGCTACACTGACTCGGGACCAGAACGCAGGCGAGGTGCCGAAATAGGCTTATCGGGCTACATAAACCCGGCTCCCGCAGGATGAGGGTTAAGTACATATTTTAGATTGTACTTAAATTTGTACTTAAGTACCTTTTTAAAAGTACTTTATCAGCTCTGCAAGGACCATTATGATGAACACCGTTCTTCATATTTAGCATTTGGCATACTACTTCATTACACGTGTTTCGTAAAACTAATAGCAGATTCGCATTCAACCACATTTTTGGGGGATATTTTCAGAAATCTTTTCCTTTTAGAGATACATGTAGTAGAATTTATAAACTGGGTCTAATCATATATGCAACCAACCACTAATCTTAGCGCTACTCTTTGTCCCTGGTGATCAGAATCAACAACTGTCTGGTGAAGCACAAACTGACCCTGTGTAATGAAGGGGTTAATGCCCATCGTCTTGTAGGCTCGTGCTTCATGCATTCACTCACTTTCAGACCCAGAGAAGTGTGTCAGTGGAGGAAGGGAGAATATCACTAGACCCCAGGCTAGGCGTACACAGTTGCTGAGTAGTCGCTGGTGTGTAGTATTAGTGTGCACTGTATAGACTGTGTACGCGGCACCTCTGGTGGCCAAGAGTGAAGGGGTTGTGGGAAAAATTAACATTAGTAGGCTTCATTTCAGGTAGGAGGCAATTAGTAGCCTATGTTTATAAAGGTATTTCTTTTCGTGCATTAGCAAAACATGGTGGAAAGCTGGTTTAGTAAAACAGGGTGGCAGTTTTGCAGGGTTTGAGTGTATTTGTTCTGCTTTCTTTTCCCTTTTTTTTTTTTTGGTTATAAATGAAATTGGACTCTCATCAGCTGAATTCTTGAGCTTGGGGTCTGCATAAATAACCCCCTGCTGCTTAGAGTGTTAAATGTGTTTTTGGTCTGCCTGATTACAATTTTGCCATTGAACCATTGAATGGGATACCAGCTTCTGTCTGCAGAGGATAATAGCAACACCTAAGTCCTTATTCTTAAGGTTTTTTTCAAGATTTTTTACTCTTCTATTCTTTTTAACCAGGAGAAGATTGGAGGTCTCCAGTCGCATTACGCAAAACCTCTGAGGTCTTTCAACTCTTTCCACTGCTAATGTGAGAAGCAGTGGTTGCCACATTGCTGCACAGCACCAGCACAGATGGAGACCCACATCATGACAGATGCCCACTTACTGGTGAAAACAACTGGTGCATTTACAGTACATGTATAACACAGACAGGTCAAACACAGAAGACTCAAAATCACGCATCGTTAGAACTGTGGCTGCGGTCCCGTTTCCCCCCCCCCCCCCCTCTTTATCTTTTAAAAATATCCTTCAATCTACAGATGCCTCGAACTACCGAGGCCAGTTCCAACGAATTCAAGCTATCTGTGTTATACTGCACTTTTACAAAAGGCATTACAGCCAAGGAAGCACAGCACTATCACACAAGGGAAGGCTTTCTACCCACCTCAAACCCCCTCATTTATGAAGCCTGTGCACCACAGATGAGCTAATGGAGATCAAGTACGCGCCTGGCGTGACACAAAAACAGAATGGGAGTTTCCACCTGGTTGAAGGGCCCTAAGACGGTCTTTGTGACCAAACCAAGAGTAGAAGCAGCTTTTGCTATCACTATTGCACACTGGAATTTGGGGGCCCTTGGCATTGCAGGTCTGAGCCCAAACCATGGACAGGGGCATCAGAAGGAACTGTACGCAAATATAGAGGGGCAGAGACTGGAATAGGGGTGTAGCTTAGAAAAACAGGAAAGGAACCATCTTTTAGAGGAGGAAAATTGGACTGGCAGACGTCTCTACTTCCCAGGAAGAGGGACTGATTAGGAATAAAGAAGTCCTTCTGCAATTTATGGCTGTGTTTTCCTCATTTGGCAACTTGGAGTTGCATGTTTTTGACAAATTTCCCTTAATTTCTTCTTTTCAGTTAATACAACCACTAAATTGACCTCTCTGTTGCATCACTACCTATTGTATTTTGGGGGGACTTTTTTCTATAAATTGGATATAAAAGAATTGGGTACATTGACAAATGATTAATTGTCGTTATACAATTCAATTCATGCTCCTATCTGTTTGGGTTAGAAAGTTATGACAAAATCTGTGCGTTTTTTCAAATTTTCTCAAAATGACAAAAGTTAAGGGGTATGGGTTGCAGCCCGGGCTCTCATTTAAAACACAAGTGGAGGGTTTCTTTTACACTTGGCCTGACTATGTGAACATGAATTTTCTGTGATCCTCGGTGGGCTTTTTTTTATATCTCTCACCGATTTCGAAAAATGAAGTTTCAAGTGCTTCAGTTGATGCGAAAATGCAAAAATTAATAGAGTCAAGCAATAGCTATGATGTTATCCTCAATATCTCTTTAGAGGTTTCAAGTATCAAAAAAGCCCAACCAGGATCACAGATTTTATTCTTAGTGGGTTTATGTGAAAATATAAGCACTTTAGTCTATAAACTGATTGAACGAGAGCGCGGGCCGGATTGAGTCAAAATTGCTTCTGTGCCCCCAAAATATGAAATATTTTCAAATTCCTTAAAGAAAGAATAAATTTTGCTATTTGATTTTCAGTTTGAACTCCTAAAGTGTTTTATGATCACTCTAAATGATGCTTGGATGGGTTAATAACAAAGTTAGAAACATTAACTGCCACCTACCCTTAAAAATCTCAATCTCTTTTGGATATTTCTAAAAGTATGCATCTTTTAGACCATTCAGAAAGAAGGAACAGAAATGTCATATTTTTCTGTGTTAATGCTTTCAAAAACTACAAACCATGCTAAGAATTATCTTCCCCAATCTATGAGGAATTGACCTCCAGAGACATTCTCTGTCAGACATTTTCTTCTCTAACACATCTCATCAATGGGGACATTTAATTCCTCATAATCTCATCTATGAGGCCATTTCTTTTACGACATATTTCATCTGTATGGAAAATCTCACCTATGGGGACATTTAACTCCTAACATATTTCATCTATGAGAGCAGATAATTCTGCCCCCCCCCCCCCTCCATGTTGCAAAACATCTAACTCAAAAGCCAGCTTTCCCAACATTCACCTGTCTGAGACGTTCCATCTGTTCTGACTCCTCCCGTAGTTGTTCATCTCGTCGACGGATGGTAAAGTTTGAATCTTCTCCACGACCCACACCTGGAAGAAATTGTACGAGACTTACATCCTCACTGACAGAATTAAGATCATTTAGAAGGCAAGCTGCTTGTAAGGACAAACCACTACTTACTGAGAGGGACAGTGTCCCAGCAGACATATGCACACTCAATTAAAAAAAACACAAAACAAACCCTGTACACAAGGAAACCAAAATCGTGTCTGTGGCATGTGATGGCAAAGTATTAAACAGCTATGTCACAGGTGCTGGTACCCACACCCGAAGCACAGGGGCAGCCAAGAGTAAGTATATAGTATATCACACTCCTACAAGTGAGGAGGCATCTTCCACACCCCTGTTTTAGACCAGTCTGTCTCCCACGGTCTGCTAATTTTGACTAATAACATCCGCATCGAAAATAAGTTACATTTTAAAACAGGCTTTGGTTTTTCCATCGTGCGTTTGCAATAAAGTGATCTATAAGATGTCCCATTTATTAAAAAAGACACTTGCAATAAACACATTTTTGAGTCAATGTTTGCCGATGTTAACTGATAATATCTGTCCATAACTTACTATTTTAAACAAACTTTTGTCCTTTCTTATCCTCTTACGATGAATCTGATCTATATCATGCCCCACTTAAAATAAAAGATAATAGTCAGTGGAGCCCACTTAAACGTCACGACAAAAACTGTCGAACTTTTGGAACGTGAGCGACATAACATTGGTGCAGATACTCAGAAAAGATGGTATCTGAGCATATAAAAGAAGGCTGTAATTTTGCAACTTTATCCATCTGGCACACAATTTGCTTTGAAGTAATTCCTCTATAAACGAATTTATGTGTCTAATATAATCGTGAATATTCGCATATTTTCTCAAAAGTTTATAAAAATTACCCTGTAGTCTCTTTACGAAGTAATACAAATCAATTTAAGTTAAAAAATACATCTGCAATGCAATACACAAATAGTATCTGTTAGTGTTACACTCCAGAAAGTCTTTACTTTTCTTAAAAGGCTAATTCTAGGTTTTGTCAGTTGACTGAATAACAGGGATGACTTCTCGTAATTGGGTTATAAGAATAGTTCCTAGCTTTAAAGTGACACTGAATCACCACCAGACTTTTCCAGCTAAAATTTTCGTTTCAATGACCATTCGCAATACCTGACAATGTTCTAATTTCTTTACACATTCATAAGTGTCCGCGCATATTACCAACACAATAACTAAGAATGAATGTGTTAGCTGTTATTATTTTTATTCCAAACACGAAGTTTATCTCTACCCATGAGTGTTTAAAAAAAACCGAATATCTTTCTTAGCGGCATGCAGGCTGCCACAGACGCAGCATGATTCATGAACAAACACAGAGAAACTTTCTCTTGTTTAACTCTTTTTAAATTAATTCGTAGCCAGTTAAACACAGATTTTGGAGAGATCTGTCATGCCGTTTTTAAAAAAAGAATAAGTTATTCATATGGTTGTGACTAAAATAGGACAAATTGGGTACTCTACAAACACTTGTCTAGAAACACAACTAAGGAAGAGAAATTAACCATTCTAACGCAGAATAAATCTTAAGACATTGAGCTTTTAGTACATCAATGTAATGGTTAGCTGTGTGGGATGGGGAAGAAGTTATAGCGTTTCAAATGTAGACAAAAATGCAAAGTTCTTAACCGACACAGGCAAAGTCGCTTCAGGGCTAATTTACCCCCTGACCCCAAGCCGGGGAGCTCCAGAGTCACGCGATCTGAAAGTAACAGAATCGGGCAAAAAGTGGCGCCGTGACACACACTTTCCCTAAAGTTTCCATTCATCCCTTCACACACACCCCCAATTTTCGTTACATCCGCTCAAACCTACCCCAATGTTTCCTCTCACCTGTCCTGGTCCTTGTTCCCCCATAACTGTTGGTCGGTGGTCGTGTGTTGATCCGTCGGTTGTCTACCTCTGACTGCCCAGGTTTCTGAAAAGAGACATTCAAACATCAGCCCGTTTGTCAAGCGTTAGCTGCTGTCTTTTCTGCACTATCTTTGTTTCTTTGATTACATGTTTGAATGAGTGAAGAGAATCGCAGGGTTCTGCACTGAGATTCTTTGTTTAAGTAAAGACAAGCACACCCCACATTAAGTCATTTAGTGCACGGAAAAAGATATATACAGACAGAAGCAACAAAGGGAAAGAAAAGAAGAACCTACCAGTGGCCAGCCTCATCTGACCACTTTCTAAGGAAAAAGTAAGACAGAAACAAAGGGAGAGAAAATAAGTCGTACAGGAAATCCAAGGGAAAGACAGACACATTCTGTTTAGTTTTACTTTAAGTAAGAATTTAAAGGCACTCGCAACACAACATGGTCATATAAGTGCCGAAGATTAGACGTGCTAATAGATAGTAACACTCGTACAAATAAAAGAATGAGGACATAAGATTTTTTTAGTAGAAGTTTTACTGTACTCGCAACTGCCTAAGGTCATACGGGTGCCAGAAGATTAGATGTGCTACAAGAGAGTAACAAACATAAAAAAGAAGAACCATAGATGTTAGAAAGAAAAGAAGGAGCAAACCACACCAGAGAACCCGCCAACCACCCACGAGGACATAAGAACAATAGAAGTTCGATAGGAATGAAAGAGCAAACCACACCAAACAACCTGCTAACCACCCACTCTGCACATTTGCTAATTAGACGGAAATTTCCATGTGCATGAAATGGTCAGCCGAACAATCAATCCACAATAATTATTTACCAAGGTACAGCTGCCTGGGTCCAAACACACTCTTGCCCTTATTGAAGTTCATGAAGTTACAGTTATTTTTACAACTAATGAAATTAATTAATTTTTTTTTTCATAAATTTACAAATAATGAGAAGAGAACAAGACTATCTCTGTTTTTGACACCAAAGTTTGTCATGTTTAAAAAGTTCTTTTCTTTTGGCTGAATCTACAGGAGTAACTTTGGGCCAGGTATAGACCCATCACTGTGTAGAAGTTGCCAGAACTTCATGTTGACGCGGGCTCGTTGTCATACAGAGAGGACCAAGGAAAGCTCCCATCTTGCTGCATAGCAGGATAATATGCAATTTGCCTATCATGCAAAGAGGGGCTTAGAGGATGCCATTCTCGAGTTCTTAGAAAACATCTACAAACACGTAGACACACAAAGAAATTACTGCAGGATACTTTTTACTGATTTTTCATCTGCTTTAAACACAATCCAACCCCACATAAAGGGTTTCAAAATTAATTCACAAGAACATAAACAAAAACACTATAGCCTGGATTCTTTTGTTCTTAACTAATCGACCTCAATACGTAAAATTAAATGGTGTAAAATCCTACCTAATATTCATGAACACCGGTGTGCCCCCAGGTTGTGTAATCTTCCCTGTCTTGATTACGCTCTACACTAACGACTGTACTGTTGTGAAGCAGTAAGGCGCTTTGCCTTCTCATGATAAAGGCCTGAATTCAAACCTGTGAGGGGAGGGTTTTGACCTTGAGTATCTCCATCTGTCTGCTGGGACACTGTACGCCTCTCAGCCGATGCTGGCCCTGGCAGGCATGGCTGACGCAGCCTGCCTCCTAATTATCTAAATTGTATTGATGCAGGTGTAAAAAAGTCTACAATAACAGTTTACCTTGAGCCCAGAGCCAGTGGTAGTCCCTCGTTTCTGCTCATCAAGTCGAGTCTTGAGCCGGCCCGAGTCACTGACGGATGAGTTGGACACTTTCTTGTTCTTGCCGTCGTCATCCTGGGGGGAAAAAACCAAGAAAGCTTGTACAAACCCTTGACTTCCACAGTACATCAAGTATAACCACCACCCCACGTTTTTGTGCTTTGGGATGATCACAGCCTGTAGTTTCCTGTTCCAGTAAAACAGGTATGGGGCAAACTGCAGCCAGATCTGACCCTCGAGCAGTTTCAGTCCAACCCGTCAGTCGACCACGTAATTACAGGGTCCCCACCAAATCCTGGAAATTTTTTTCAAGACCCCAATTAAAGGGAAAAATAAGGTCGTTGCGCTGCAAGAATGATCCCCAAAAAGCCCATCTATCAACGATAAAAAGTACAAATGTCTTTAAATGAGTGCATATGTACATTTTTTTTAAATAGTAGAGGGTTTTACGGCACTCGCAACTGCATAAGGTCACATGAGCGCCAAGGGGTGGGTGTCAATAGAGAAGTCTTTACAGGGAATGAGACTTACTCTGCTCACCTCTCTAGCTTCAACAGCACAAGGTCCGCTTCGACTATCAAGGCACCCCAGAAACAGCAGGTCATAAGAGAGTGGCAAACATACAAAAAAAGTAGAGGTAAATGACAATAGTAAGGATCAGGAAAGAAAAAGCAGCAGTTCCCTGTAGTAGATCAGGCACAGTTATGAGTGTGACATGAGTCAGCCCATTTACAATTCTACTATGCTTGAAATAGAAATGTCCCCCCTATGGGAATGGCCTAAAGACACTAGTCAGTGGCACTGCCCCAGTACATTTTGTAAGTCTTCAAACAATAGATGATTATAAAAGATAAGATAAGATAAGATACATCTTTATTGTCCAGATCCTGGCAAATTGGTTTGGTGTTTCACCACATGTACATACACACACACACACACACACGCGCGCGCGCGCGCGCACACACACACGTAGGCTTACAATCACATGCATAATATAAATGAGCAGCAATATAAACAATAATAATAGTAAGCTAGATACACACTCAATGTAATTTTGATGCATGCTCTAAGGTCGTAAGTATACTTATACAAGATGGTTAAGAAGAAAGCATTTTGATAGATGATGGTAAAAATGAACTTCTGTATCTTTCTTTGTTACAGATCAGAAGTCTAGGTCTTTGACTGATGTTTTTATTTGAGGGAACAAGGGATGTTTGTTGTCTAAAAAGATGGAATTAATTTTTTTAGTGCAAGCTGTTATGTACAATTCTGCCGTCGTAAGGGAAAACGACGAATGGTCCTGCGCAGGTAGCGAGGCAAATTTTTCAGGAGAAGCAAAAACTGTTTTCACTTTATAACTCTTCTATTTTTCACTCTTTTAAGCTGTAATTCACCAGATATCTGATTGAGGTGTTCATAAAGCAGTATCTAAAGTTTGAATGGTTTAGGTTAAAAAGTAGCAAAGTTATTCGACATTCGTCGTTCTGCCTTACACTGCGCACCCGCAGGTGAGCCTTGCGATGTAAGCGAAAACGACGAATGGTACGGTTCGTCGTTCTCACTTACACTGGTGAATGTTATGGGAGTAGGCGATGGTCACTTGTGACGCATTATTGACAGTAATGACTGTGTACTGGTGGCTACAAATAAAAATAAGACGTATACAAACTAGCTATTATACGTGTAAAGTTAGGTGTTTGTTATATCCCAACTGTAACTCGCTAAACGTCCTTCGTTTGCCTTCCTCGCTTGGTCAAATACTACACAGTCAGTGTACAAATCAGATGTGTGCACATTTTCAACAGCTTGATTTAAAACTGTCTCATTCGGAACAAAAGTATGATCTCCATGATATCTCTTTATTGCATATTCTCTTCAGAAGCGAGTTTTACTTTTATTTTCGCTAATTGCAAAATTTTCCCTGCACGACCAAAGGGATCAACAATGTTACAATGTCAATAATACGATCAGATCATTGCCAAGTCAAACTTTCTCGTAAGAAATGTAACAATCTGACAAGACTGTATCACAAAAACGCTTTCGGGAGAGGTAATGCGACGCTTTGTATTTAATAAAGGATTCAGTTGATCGGATGGAAAACATACCACAAAGTAGAGATCGACAAGACAGTTTGAATCTGCAAGACATTATTATACTCGATCGTAACGTCCATCAAGTCATAAAAAAATCGTAAAGCAAGACTAAGTGTCGCCACAATACGTCCATTTTTTAAGTTGGACAAAGAAATTTACTCTCATAAAGCAGTGTCATTAATTGCTTGGTAATTCTATAAGGACGTCGACCAGTGACACGTGCTGGACAAATTGCGGCACTATTACCATCGTTGGGATTTGGGATGTCAAATGACTGGACAGCAAACTAACATGACATTAGTCTGTGAACATCTGGCGGACGCTAATATCCAGTCTTAATAATTTCTCTCTAAATACTTTTTTGACCCTCCCATTCCCACTTTCCCCCTGTTCCCATCCGTTTACCCCTCTCTCCCACCCTCTCTTCTCAATTCACACAATCAGCATAGGCCTAATACTTGAACACAGACAAAAAGACACACTAAGTGATACATTCTTATAAACCTGGTCGACGGTACTCCGGGGGAGGGGGTGGTGCTGTGTTTGTTTGAAAAAAACCTAGTATGTTTGTACCGACGCAACAGTGACCCAATTGTCATTCGTCGCCCATGCCAAATTTGCCCAACGGCAGAGATCAGGGGACAACGCCGAACGAGCAGTGATCCTTGACCGATCGACCATTCGTCGTTCTCCCTTACACTGAGCCCTGGCTCGGAGCTCGCCAGTGTACGGGAAAACGACGAACTCTCAATTACGCAACAACGGATTAGGATATGAAAAAAAATTTTACACCATCAGATGCAGAATTAAATACTCTATAAAATATATAAAAATACAAAAATCGAAAAATTTTGACCATTCGGTGTTTTCCCTTACGACGGCAGAATTCATCCAAGATGGGGAATGTAGAAGTTGAAATTTTACATGCTTTCCGTATTAGTCGATTTAATTTTTCTTTATCTTGTTGTATTGAGTTCCCGGCCCCTGCTGTTATACAAAAATTGATCATACTCTCTATGGTTGAATGGTAGAACATGGACATCAATGTATTATCAACTTTAAAATACTTTAGCTTCCTTAGAAAAAATAGTCTTTTGTTCACTTTTTTTATACAGGAAAAAAACTGGGTGACTACCAACACAGCTTCTCAATTTTCCAGGGGGCCTCATCCATTTTCAAGGGGCATGTTATATTACAATGACAGCCTGTGCTCCATTTATATGCACCATATATGTATATGTTTGTAAATACACACACACACACACACACACACACATGTAGTTACATTATATCCAGTCAACAACATGTCATTGGCACTGGGATCTTGTGTGACTTAGCTATTTCAGTATGTTCTTACTTATTTATATCTTCCCCTCATCATATTAGCCTACATAAACTAGACTATAAAAATGAATCCTGTTTTGAGCCTGAGAAAAGACCTACAACCAGAATATTGACTGTCAATAACCAGTCTGGGAGTCATGATTCATATAATAAACGTGAAGAAAAAAACTAATGCTGAAACTCAAAGTAGAGTAATAACTTGAATGGCTCGAGTAGACTTATTCAGTGTGAGAGTTGTAACTTAGTGTAAGAACTGAGGGAGGGCAAGATGCAGTGACACTGAAAATCTGCCAATCTTGAGCAGAAAGCTATAATATAAATTACTATCATCCCATCCAATGAAACGCGAACACTTTAGTTCAATAACAAGGGATGACGGATCCCGATTCCACACAAGGCCTGCACCAATGCGCACTTGGCAGAGAGCAGTTTTAGCAGTTATCAAAATTCTCCATACTAAAAATTTGCTTCGAAGTTCTGTTTTTGTGCTCTAGCGTTGCCTTCAGCCCCACTCCCCCCCCCCCCCACCCCGCCCCCCGGCGGGTGTTTCTAAAAAAAAATAAATCAATAACCACCCCCCATTCCGGAGTCCTATGCTTCACACCGTTCAGACCGCCGCTACTCACACGATGCCTTATCATGTGATGGCGAGCCTGCCAAGACGCTTATATAACTTGTCTTTTCTTTTTCTTTAACAAGTGATAGCACAGGACAAATATTGATTTATTTTCATGGCGACACAGCGCTCGTAATGCACAACCTGCATGTCACAAATGTTGCGTTATCTATCAGACTGTTGCCGTAAAATTTCTGGGTGGTAACGAAAGCAGATTTCAATTCTTCCCTATCGAGCCTCGGTGTCACACATACATTTCCGCCTGTTTGCGTGAAACGTACTCTCAGACTGGGAAAAGCAGAATGAATCACAATAGCGACCGGGAAAAAAATGAACTAAAGGACGTTATGGGATTTGGCTTTTAAATATGCACAAACTTTTACATATTTTTCCGTGTCTTTCCCGAGGCAATTTACAGATTTCCTTTAATTCCCAGGGAATTCCGGGGTCTCTGCGATTTTTTTCAAAATTACCAGGTAATTTTCAGAACCTGACAGTCACCCTGTTAATAGCTTATTTCACTTAACAATGATATCTCACCTGTGTATTCCTTGCCAAGAGTTGATTCAATTATGTATCCTCTTCATGATTCATCAACCATACTGTCTAGATTGCTACACTACTAATATCTTGACTTCCCCACCCATCACAAAATTCCCGACTTTTTCCCGATTTCCCGACCTGCTGGGGACTCTACAATTAATACAAAATGTCACCTGCAGTGAGTTCATAATAAATAAAAACAAACCAGTTCGTCTTGAAAATTAAAACTAATAGTTTCTGGCCCAACTGGAAGCAATAAATCTAATGTTTTATCCCATGAAATGCCATTGAGTGACACAGTATGTTATAGCATCAGTTTTAGTGTTACTTTCAAGAGCTTGGCTATTTGAGATATTCATAATCGCTTAATCCGGCCCAATTTTCACTTGGATGGGTTAGACTATTACACACGCTCTGAGCAACAGTACACCACACACAGTGACACCATATTGTAGGGACCACCCCACCCACAACAGAATAACCAATTCCCCCCCCCCTCCCCCCAACAAACACATACACAATAAAACAATATCCCACTCCATTCCTGGAAATGAGAATTCATTGAAATCCAGCAATTTCCATCACAGTATATAATATGC